TGTGGCATACGGGCAGGATAGAATAATTTATAGATTTGTACAGGTACAAGCTGACTGTTCTGGGCAAGAGAAGTAGTATTGCTCCTATGCTAATAAAAATGCCAGAGCAGAAGACTCTCCCTTCCCGCATGGCTTGCCTGGCCAGCAAGGTTGGGATCTGCAAGACTGGTGAACGCTCCAGACCATTTCAGTGCAAAGTCAGACAGATTAAATTGAATCATCACTAAAGAACAAAAAAATGTGTCTCCTAACAGTAATTAATGTCTGTCTTCTATATTGCTTTTAATTTACAGAGTTTCAGTCATGGCTGAACTATTCTGTATGCTATTCATTAGCTGATCACATGCCACTGCTAATTTTTTTCAAATGTATTCACTATTTATAAATGTTCACCAGTTTGTGCCGACACATGAGGGGAGGGACTGACATATTTACGCCATCTACTTTATGTCTTTAGTGCAGATGCTTTGCAGTTCTTCTTTGGCAGGATTAACCTCTCTTGTTTACCAAAGATGCAACCTTGTCTCCTAAAGTTATTTGTATGATATTCATCTGTGTACTATGCCTGAACTAGACAGTTTAAGAGTCATCACCCCCTTCTCCTCAGACTTCAACCATCTAATGAGTCCATTCACCATGTCTACACAGTGGGCCAAATTAGCTGCATGGCATTAGCACTGCTTCTCAATCACTGCTTTTTTACATTTAAAAAAGGTGAATAGAATAGAATAGAATAGTTCCAGTTGAAACAGATCCACAGTGATCATCTAGTTCAACTGCCTGACCACTTCAGGGATGAAGTTAAAGCATTATTAAGGTCATTGTCCAAATACCTCTTAAACACTGACAGGCATGGGGCATTGATCACCTCTCCAGGAAGCCTGGATATAAATTTTGCCATGAATAAATTTAATGCTAAAAATTTTTGGGGTTTTAGGGATGCTCAGTGGCTGCCTAACAAATAACACACAGCTCCCATCAGTATTTCGTAGATCAAGCCAGTTAATTTTGGTACTATTAAACCAATTCTGATAGTAGTTGAAATGAATTTTTTTGTTGGTACAACCTCAGCCCTAAGTAAACATTTATAACCTCACATAGCTACACACAATACAAGTCATCCAGTCCGAGAGACCTTTGCTCACGGAAAATCAGCATTTGATGTTCCAAAGACGGAATGGAACTAGCATGTTAAAGCATCTACTCACTATCCAAACAGTCCCTATTGTTATAGTTATTGCCAGTAATATCCTGTTTGTCACTGGGATAGCACTTTGGTTCGCCTGCCCTAGAAACAGCCATTTACCTCGTAGCTAAACCCTTTCAGTGTGGGACTTGGAAATTCACCAAAGGTAAGGAAACCTACTCAGGGCTCTGGCCTCCAGCAAAACCTCTTCAAAATGCCTTGAGAAATAACCAGACTCATAAACCTCCACACATCCAACAAAATAAACCATTTTCATATCCAAGTAACAAATTTGCCTTCCCCATCTGTCTGGCATTGCCTCTGACCCTACTCTGCATCCATCACATCCCATCCCTGGCAACAGGCCCTGAACAAATTCATTTTTGTGGACTGTGGGTGAAATCTGTGGCAAAATATTACTAGTAGAGCTAATAACTGGTTTGGACTTTCATACAGTGCAGCTGCATACAGGGTGAAACACCAACAGCCTTTCGTCCCAGGCATCACTGTGTCTGAGTTGTAAATGCTGTGTGAGCTATCTGCAGGAAGCCTGTTCCTTCCCTGAGTGATATCCATCTACTGCCTTTGATTTTCTTAGAGGCAGGTTGGGCCCAAATTTTGTAAAGTGGTTTCAAGCCCTTTCATGTGAAAGGCACTGAAAAAGTACTGTACAGATCTAATGCTGTTGGAGCTCAGACCTTCAAAATGCTGGTTGTTTCCTCTTGACCACCTGCTTCACCTGTGCCATGAAAACCTGCCCAGGGAAGGAAATAAACAGATGCAACACAGCAGGACAAGTAAACGTAGCTGGTGCTGTGGGGCCATGAATGGTTAATGCTTTTGCCATGGCAATGGTGCATCTGGAGCTTTTCCCAATGCTGGGCTGGATAGCATCACTGTCTCTCCCAAGTTGTTGGAGTCATGGCAGTGAGAAACTGCTCTGAGATCACCACTGGAATCCTCAATTTTTAATGCTCCCCGGCTCCTTACTTTTACAATTAGAAAGAAGGAAATTGGTAAATGCCCTGGGACTCACAACCAGGTTGTGACCTGGTGAGGAAAGAGGAAGTGATTGCTAACACACCACTGCTGGTAATAATGCCTGGGTGAAAAATCTTCGACGGAAAGTGCAGTTTTGCACAAAACTGCAGCAATTAATTGCTTTTGAGCCTTTCTACACAGAAGAACTGAATCAAATGGTTTCAGCTTGTTTGGGAAAGGTGAAACAGTTGGTTTTGGCAGGGGCAAGGGCAGGGGCAGACAAACCAGTTCCCTGGGGTAAATTCAGATGTGATTTTCCACAGCCTCAAGCACCCTGCAGGATCTGCCCATGGTGAAGGTTCCCTGTGTCCGTGCTGCCTGTGGTATCACCATGCCCATGGGGCCACTGTGCCACCTCTCCTCTTGACCATGAGCTGTCACGCAGATAGATGTGGAAGGGGCTCTTGCAACAGAATATTCTGCAGGCTGTAAGCTCAGGGGTAAGGTTGCCCCAGGTGAGATCTTTTCTCTCTCAATACCCACAGTATTTTAAATAGGTTATGTTACACTTTATGCCATGTAATATTTTTATATTTTATCAGTGAGATTTTTTCCAGCACTCTGCCCTAGAAGTCATTTCCACTGCTCAGTTCTATGTGCAGTTTTGTAGTGAAATGGGTTTAATAAATGATGTGATTTCTCAAAAAAATGAAATTCCATGTTTGATCAATGCTAGTTTTGACCACTGCCACTGGACAGGGTTTGTCTCAGAATAGCATGTCAATATACAGAGCTATTTTTTCCCCTTATCTTTCTCATCTTTCTCATTTAAAACATTTTAATTTTATATCTATGTGCTGTAATAGCTAAGAAGGCAAATAAGTATAGCTGGAAAAATTTTAGAGGTCTCAATCTTCAAACCCTGAAAATGTAGCTTGATTTAAATGTGCATGCATGCTGCTTTTACCTGGCACCCTGAGGAAATAAGGATTACGCAGTGACACTTCATCTTCCCATCCTTCTCTCAGCCCTCCTCTCCCTCAGGAACTTTTGAGCCCACTGGCAATCCCTACCACTTCTGACAGAGATGAAACGAAATCAAAGCAAGCCCCTGCGAGTCACCTGCAGCTGGGGAGGGAAGAGAAATTCGGCATGGTGCCCTCACCGAGTGCCAGCCTGCCTGGCTGGCATCAGCACCTTGTGTGTGCACACACGTGTGCCCTCACGCCAAACCCAGCCAGCCCTCAGAACAATGCATACATGGTCTGGTGCGGGCTATCGCAGGGGGTTTGCGGTAGGCAGAGGTATTTGCAGGGCATAGGAAAGAGTGAAGGGCAGTGGGTGCTGGGACTGGTGTATTGCTGGGGAGTGAGGCTGTAAGGGACAAGCAGATCTCAGCTTGTCATGGGAAAGTGGGTGCTGCTGCAATATAAGGCATAAATTCATGCAGCCAGTCTTCCTTCGGGTTTTTGGCTCATGGAACTACATATTGACAACATGCAATATTCTTTCTTATCTCCTGTCTGGGTAAAGTTTTTTTTTTTTTTCTAAAATGGTCGTTTAATCTATCTGGTGGGAAGGGTAGAGGAAAGAGAGCACTGAGTGCATTAGAAGTGACGCTGCCCACTCTTGTGGAGGAAAAGGTCTTCACATTTCCATGGATCAGATTCTGCAATTACACAGCTTGCTTGTTTGGCCAGTTCATCTGCTAAACCTGACACGAAGCCAGAATGAAAACAGAGATTTTCCCATTACAGAATACCAAATCTATGATAAGCCACGCCATGAAAATTCAGTTTTTAAGGAGGTGGGGAGAAAATGAGGGAAACTCCATCTGCTGCTGCTGCAAGTTAAGTAATGAGTTTTGCAGTGCTTATAGAATCTGTTTTTCAGGGATCTCATAAACAACAACAACCATTAGCCAAAGGAGCAGTGAGAGAAGAAAAACATGAGAATTTGGGACAGGAAAATTTAAGCAGAAGTTTGAGCAACAGTTTTAGCCTGTCACACCATCTGCGCGGTAACTTTAGACACAGCTGGGTAAAATAAGTAATTGCTACAGAAAGAGGCCTGTGAATATTGTACTTAATCTCTGGGTCTGTTTTGCACAGCGATGCAGTGAACATCATTGATAATCTCGATTATATTTGTATTTTTTCTTATACTACAAATTCCCTCACTATAAAGTACTCAAACCAGTCACCACTTCTACTTTTCCTACCATCAAGTTATAGTATTAAAATGTATTTATATATTGTCTCTGAAACAAATGTCTCTGAGAGGAGACACATATTCTGACAACACTGAAAGAGACTGCTGGTTTTCTCAAAGATTACTCCTTAAATAGGACATAAATATTGTAATTTATGCATCATTTGCCATGAGGCACGAGATCACCAATAGCATGTATTTTTATGTGTATATATATATATATATATATATATAGTCTTCATCCATAACTTCAGCTTGTGAAGTTCAGAACTTCAAAATTTCAAAACCAAATCAAGAATACAAATCGATGGAGGCTGAATTGTGTCTGTTGTCCCAAAAATCCAGTGGATTTAATTGCATCCCTAATGCTGCTTATTTGCTAAAGCCAAAATAAATATTGGAAGAAAACAAATAAGTTCTCTTAATAAATCCTGCATTGCCCCAATTGTATGAGCTGCCATCTAAACTGCCTGGCTACCATCCAGGCCTGAATCACATTTTCGGACAAGAAGTAACCCATGCATCCCCTTTGAACTGTCCTCTCCCCTCCTTGATCTTCCTTTACCTCCCACCTGGCCCTCCTGCAGCTCTCAATTAAATTTATTTTAAAGGACTTTCTTACCTGCATAGTGGTCAAACACAGTGGGGACATACTCCTCTGGAAAGGCATCATTGGCATAGCTCATCAGCAAACAGGTTTTCCCAACTGCACCATCCCCAACCACCACGCATTTTAACATCTTCTTCGTGTTATTGCTGCTCCCGTCAGTGCAGTTGTCATCTTCTTCCTTGCAGTTCATTCTTGCTGCTACTGCCGCTGCTCTGGCTGCTCCCAGGACTTCCAAGTGCACATGAAGAAAAAATGAAGTGCGATTGTATTGACTTTTCCTGAGTTTAGAAGGGGAGG